ACACACAGACTGTGAGTCTGTGGTTGAGACAGTTGGAGGGTTACTATTACTCCTATTGACAAAAGTTATCAAACTGGGATACTAGGCCGCTGTTGCGTAGTCTGTACTTTTGAAATAAATTGTTTAGTTTTGACCTATGTTCTGTCAGTTTGCCAAAAAAAGCTTGTAAAACTTACTGCTTTATCTTTCTTTTTCCTTGATGATGCATTAAATCACTAAATATTTGAGATGTCTCACATGTTGTCTGGACTGCTACTTTCCGTCTGAGTAAGAGCACCTTGTCTAGAAGCTCAAATATGTCGTCCTCCACGAATCCGTTACAGCTTAACTATGAGCCTCATCGTGATGCAGACTGATTTTATCAGTATCATTCCGCGCCAACAGGAGCTTGATTTTCCCTTGATTTGCGTTCAGGCTGCAACACGCAACTCTACATGCTGACACCAACGCCACGTTGTAGATATGACTTGCTACTATCTGGCGTCGCTACCAATTGCGTCTAGCAATTAAAAGCAATGACTTAGCTCCAACTTAAGGTTCGACCAAAGTTGATTGCGTGGGACGAAAAATTGCTCACAGGCCATTAACTTTTTTAGTCGTCCGCTTCATTCTATGCTTCCGAGTGTAGGTTGTAAGGCAACAGTTCAAGATAGTGTCATCTGAACCAGGGTTTCTCAACCCATTTCGCCCGCAGACCAGTTTTTATTGGAGTCTTACAAGGCGGACCACCTACAATATTATTAACGAAAGGACTAGGCATAAATAAATTGAAAATAAGGCGCAGTGTGCTAACAACTTTTATTGCTGTGCACTGCATTAACATGGGTGTTCCTTAATGTTAGTAAAACAAGTGCTGTTGAGTTTAGGTAAAAAAACAACAAAGTACATTAAGGATTAATATGTGGATTAAAATTGTTGCTGACATTCAGCGTTGACTTGTTTGATGTTTGGTGATATTGAGGAAAATTAGACCTCATAACTAGTTCAACCACACGTCTATTGCCGTACATTGTTTTTATAGGTCTAATGCGAAAATATACTCTCACGCAGATACTTTGTGGCAAATTGGAGAAGCATATCCACAGCTGCATTCGCATTGACAGCGTACTCGTCCTTCATTTTAGACCAGAAATCAGTGAGCGACAATTTGCGGTGCTCTTCCTGAAGCAAAGATTCTGATATCATGCCGATGGATTTCTCATACTGAAGACAAGTGAAAGCAAGTGGCATTTCCGTGCAAGTAAATTCATTCTTGATTCATGAAAAGGCATTCCGTTTTTCATCATTTTCTCTGGGAAACTACTGAGACAAGATATATAAAATACTAGGTGTTGCCTGCCCGAAAACGCTGCGTAACCCCGACGCCTTTCGACATCATTTTATCTCATCAGGTGGAGGTAGTAAGCCTCGAACCCGCGATCATTCGAATAGCAGCAAGAACCTCTACCTCCTTTGGCTACCAGGTCACGACGGGCAACCCTTGGCACAATGGTTAATGACTAATTGGGGGTCAGGTTTGGACTACACTTTGTGTGATTGGGTTGCGACACGTAGTCTCAATGTAAACCGCGATTCACATTGAGGTGAACCTTGGTCACGGCGATCACTGGGACCGTACTCAAAGCAGATGGAAATTGGGTGTTGCCCACCCGAAAACACTGCACAACCAGAACGCGTTTCGATATCATTATCTCTTAGAAGACTTTTGTTGCACAAGACACACTGTAGGCAATCGATGGAATCCATTAATATAACATAAAGATAAAAACCTCTATGTTTTCGCCTCTTACCTACTGATAAAAAGATTTCGGCTGACACTGATGTATGTTTCAGAGCACTAGTCAATACAGGCGCATGGAAGGTCTCAGTTCCTGCACTCTCAAAAGGTACATTACATGTTCCAACGATTAGTACAGCTAAAGTTCACGAGGAACATCACCGTGACACATTTGGCAGTGATCCAGTCTTCAGACAACGGTCCATGTTAATGATATATGTTCAGGCGTTAGAATGAAAATAAATGATTCAACACAATAGGCCAGAACATACCTCAACTTTGACTACTACGACAAGTTGAACTTCGAAGGAAAAAGAAAAGAAAGCAAACAAAACATCCATCTTTTGATAACATTGCGGAGATGGTTGCTCTCCACTTCGTGAAATCAGATAAGTACACTCGTAAAATACCGAGACAACCATGCTTTTCTTCTGGGTTTCAATGAGTGGGACCATACTAATGGTCCTCTGTTTCCAGTTTCCCGTTTTCGGAGAATATTAAATTTAGAAATAAACGGAAAAGGTGGTCATAACTTATGGTCCACTTTTGCTTTCCGCCGGACACAAATCTCGCATGATGTGAGCGCGGGCGGAAGTAGAATAACCTATCTAACCGCTGTCCATTGCATCACAGTGAGATTGGTACATTCCACTGACCACAGGGTAGCCTCGACTCTACTCCTGGAAGTGAACTGGCCACTGGTTGGTTCGGCGGAGCTGTACGCCACCGTGCGCGTCCCCAAGTTGCGGATGGGGAAAGGCCTTGCGTGTGAAGGTAACAGTGAATAAGTCTCGGCTGTTGGCAAGCGAGATGAATAAGCAGTCGCGGACAATCAGCGGTAACGTGCTAGACCATGGGGGTTCTGGGCTGGTCACCTGGTTCCTCATTAAACACCACAAATGCTAGCATGACGTTGTGTCGAAGCCAATGTGACCGGCTATAGGGTTACTGCCCAGTTACTTCTTCTCACGGAAGTGAGAATTTGACCGAGGGCACATGAACAACCTCGATGATCACCGGTTTCTATGAAGGCATATGTGCCACTCGGCTGTCAACCGCCTTCGTTCTTCCTGGAGAGTTCAGTAGTCCAGGGAATCCTGGCTTCCTTTCGGATTCCGTGGGGCTCTTTGGGGGTCCTGAGTAGTTTGCGTATACTCGAAAGCCATTTAGCTAGATAGCCGGATCCCAAAGGTCGCGGTATACGTCAAATGCCCTGCTTCCTTGCGGGTTAGGTCTTTATGACCCAAGGCTCCGGGTGAGGTCTCCTAAGTCAGCGTTCTTCCTCGGCCTGGGCAACCAATAAGTACCATGCCCACAATCCTATGGATCCATGTCTCAACAATTCTCTGGTCCCTCTCTTCGCTCTCGCTCCATCTGCTCTCACTCTCTTGAATTGCTCTCATTAGCCGAGGTGATGGTGGCTGAACCTGCCAAAGCCGTTTTACCGCACCACCGTTTAGTTACTATATTCTACGTTTGTTCAACCCCCATTCTTGGTCTACCCCATCCGTTTTTGAGTTCAAAACACCGTACCGCCTTTGGCAAACGTTCTCGCTATACGGATCAGGAACCCAGGTCCAAGAATGCTGTACGTCGTGTTGACAAGAAATTTCTAGCGCCCCTTACACAATTCAAGTTGGCAATCTTCAATGTTCGAACGCTGATGAAGACTGGATCGCAAGCAACCCTTGCTCGCACCCTAGAAACTATGGCCATTGATGTTTGCTATCGCCACAAGACCCGTTTACAGGACTTGAAGTCCCAGTACAGCTGTCCAGGCACGAATCTAACAGACGCTGTTTATTCATTGTCGCAGCATAAGCCCCACAAATTACAGCCTGGAGTCAATTAAAGACGAGTTCTATGGTCAATTGACCGAACTTCTCCGTAAAAAGCGTGGTACCAACATCGTGGTGCTCGCCGGGGATTTGAACCCGCAGGTCGGTAGACTTGCAGTTGGCGAACGTGAACACGCTTGTCATCACGGCCATGGCACTCGCAAACTGACAATGGTAATCGGCTACATTAGCTTTGCGCCGATCACGGTCTCTTTCTGTCGAGCGCTAGCTTTCGGGGATCCTGGCGCCAGCGCGCCACCTGGAGACCATCATCATCTGGCCATCCGTGGACGCAAATTGACCACATCACAAGTAGCTATCGCTGGCGGGTAGCATACAGGATTTCAATTCAATCTGGAGTACTTATCTCACTTCGGATCACGCGCTGGTGTAGGCCAAGCTTGCGATACGTTTTGCTGGCTCCCAGCAGCGTCGCCAGAAACGGCTTGACATAGCCCAGCTCTTTGCCCCGAACCTTTTCTGCGCATTTCAGGATGTCTTAGCCTCACGGCCGAAGACTACCTCATGCACAGACATGGAAACACACCGGACACACATCCCAGGCGCCATGTACAACTCTGCAACCCTAGTCTGTGACGTCAGCAGTGGTCACGTCAATCAGTGAATTTCTGCACGATTCCTCCAACTTCTCGAATTCGGTCGACCAATTCCTGTTAGCGTTAAATACCCTTCAGTACGCAAGACTACTTTGGTTGAGCTCAAACAGCTTCTCCGGGAAGATCGTGTGGCCTGGTGGACACAGCGCGTCTTTGCGGTGGATCAAGCGGCCACCTCAGGGAATTTTCGTGAGCTTTTCCTCGTGATCCGATCTGATGGCTGCAAATAGCGGACAGTATGCACAGTTTTATGCGAAACCAATCCACTGTCAAAAACGCCGCCGAGCATTTTGAGCAGCAGTTTAATTGGCCAGCAGCACCAATGAGTTTCCATTCTGGAGCCCAGGACGCTCCCTGGTGTTTAGACACTTCACCACCATCCGAGGCTGAGATTGTCTACGAGCTTCGCGTCTTAAAGCTCTACAAAGCCCCCTGCCCAGATGAACTCTCTCCGGTTCTTCTCAAACCTGGTGGCCCATCACTTGTTAAGGAGTTATCTTCACCAAGAGATCTGCGTTACTGAAGCAATCCCATCTGATTGGAGCCTAGCGGATATCGGGCCAGTCTTTAAAAAGGGTGCCAGAACTGAGTACGCCAACTACGGAGAGACTAGTCTCGTTTGTTTCGTTTCCAAGCTTCTTGCAGCTCTGCTTCTAAGGAGGCTCAGCCTGGTACGTGAACAGAACATACGTGAAAAGCAAGGTCGAAGTTGCATCGATCACACCATTACACTCCACCAAATACTCGAGCGTCGTCAAACATTTGACAAGCCAAGGATCGTTGTCTTCTTCAACATACGAGCCATCTTTGACCCAGTCGACAGAGCTGCTCTCCGGAGTTGTCTATTGAGAATGGGAGTTGGTTTCACAACTGGCGTGAGACAGGGTTGCCCATCATCTTCATTCTTGTTCAATTTAGGTATGGACGAAATCTTTGCGAGTGCTTTGGAGAACTGCGAACCCAGAAGCGTCGAGCTGCTTCCAGGGGGCCGACTTGGGAATTTTTAGTATGCGGACGACATCGCCGTAATTTGCGCTTCTTCACAGGCTGCCCAAAATGGCCTGTGTAAGTTGAAAATGTTTGTCTCCTAGTTTGGTATGAACTTCGCACCATGGAAATGCAGACCGGGCGCCGCTCCTGACCTTAGCCTTCTGAGTCAATCACTGGAACTGGTGGACAAGTTCGTTTACCTTGGAAACTGCCTCAGCCCTAATAGTTTAACGGACGAGGTCTCTTTGCCCATCTCCAAGGCTTGGATTACTTTTGCTAATCTCGGGCATTTCTGGCGCCGAGGTGATCTGAGTCCATCTGCAGGGCCAAGATTACAATGCCACAGTGAGAGAAATGCTCTTCTATGACTGGGAGACTTGGCCTGTTCGAGCAAAGGATGTTGAGTGGCTGTCTGTTTTTGATCACCGTTGCCTTCGAAGCATTGTTGGTGTACCATGACAATATCACACTAGGAGTGAAGATATTCGACAAAGGATTTTCGGATCAGACAGACTTTGCCGGCCATTGAGCAGTATAATTTCTCTGTGCAGACTTCAGTGGCCTGGACATGTTCTCCGCATGCCTACTCATCGGTTATCTCGCCGTGCCCTCTTCGTGCACGCAGAAGTGGGCTAGAAGCGAAAGCAAGGTGACCAACCTATGACTCGGGCCAGGAACATGAAGGAGATAACGTCAAAGTTAGCCGTGGTTGGGCGCTCTCGGCCCCCTTGCTGGAGTGTGAAAGATTGGGAACATACATGGCTGGAAACACTCTCGGATATGGCAAGAAATCGTGCAAAATGGCTGACTTGCTGTGACTCACGATTCCCACGAACACCGGTTTTTCTTTCCATCTATCTTCGTATAATTACTGCATTTTCCATACGCTGTGACACTATGATAATTGTATTATTGGCCGTGTTGAATATATATATATATATGAATACATATACCGACTTATAGGTTAGTTATATGTGGCTGCTGCTAAATTCAGTTCACGGCACTTGATCAACCTCTTGCGCTTATCCGTACAGGTAACTGTGGGCATTTCGGCATTATCAAAACCAAACGCGCATTGCCAACAAAATTCCAGACTCCCAGATCCGGTTACCCAGTCCTTACTATCAGATGCACTCGATCTTACCGAACCTTGGAGTTGCATTCACGATGAACATAATTCCAGTTTGTCACCCTTTATGTTAGCTGAGTGAAGCTGCACCAATTTCTCTTAGCTTCATGATTATCGCAACAAATTCTGTGCAGTCAGATAGCAACTGACTGCGCTAATCTTCAAACCGGCAATCCAACCATCGCCTGAATAGTGATGTCAAGGTTGGATGGTCTCAGTGATATCCGGAGATGTAGATTACTGTTTCCTCTGAAACTTTGCATGCTCTTCAGCTCAGTCGGAAGACTTATCACAGGCAACTTGGTGTCAATGACTCTGTTTATCAGAATGATGTAGCCAGGAGTACTAGCACTACTGGCGGAGATCAGTGGTCTACTGGTCGTGGTGATAACCGCTAATCATATTGTGCCGCGTTCCACCCCCTGCTCAGACTACCACAACCTGATTGGTCCAAGCAAGGACGAAATGAGTCGGAGTGAGCAGTGATAGGACAGAGCAATACAGACGCCCTCGACAAAGACGAATAGCTTGAAGATCCGCTTAGATATTTGGACCAAGAATAAGTACCCGCGTCTAACGGTTTACAAATGTCATCCCGTGTTTCCAATGTACCTAATTAAAATGCACGGCCTGTTTTGCTTTAGCCACCCGATGCAGCAGAGATTAACCCATGGTTCCGACAACAGACTACGACTTTCACAGTTTATTCGGACTGCTTCCACAGCTGTTAACACATGACTAGTTTGTGATTGTTGTCCAGATGGTGAACCTACTTTCCTCTACTTGCAATGTTAAAGCTTCGCTCTCCTTGGAGCGATTCAGCTAATGACTGAAACTTTAGGGAAGTGACCGCTATGTAATGCACCATGCACATAGATGTTTACTTTCGCGTAGTTACCTTTCAGCCCATTGCACCCATCCTGGTCACCGGACATCTAGTTCACAATGTCTACCATGATAATGACGTTTCCGCCTCAGTTGATAATGTATAAACTTCCGATCACTTGAACAGACCCATATATTTTGGGGTCTTACTGTTCTCGTAGTCGACTATTCCAGTTGAGCTGTTCTCTCGGACTGCTTGCTAATGAAGAAAGTTCCAAACCAATGCCGTCATCCAACCACCCTTACCACTGTATCGATCAGAAGGCGTGAGGCCCAACAGCCAGCCAATGTCTATTTTTGCCCTAAGTATCCGATAACAATGGAGGTGACCATAGACCCAAACCCTTTCAATTTTGCAAAGAAAATGTACTACTGCAATCTCTAGGGTTTTCCCAGACTTATGTATTGGAGATTTTCAACAGTCGATTACCCAGCTTTGATTATGCCACATGTCACTTCACGCGTAAATTCTCCAGAGAACGCAACTCAATTGAAATCGTGTTCCGATGGGAGTAAATATACAGTATACGTATTCTGCTTATTCGAAATGTACACACCTCTTAAGAGGTGAAACTAGCCCTTTCTGCAAGCAACAATGAAGGCACAAATTTACTAGAAGGACAACTTTCCCCTGCTGTTAGCGCAATTTAGTAAAACGTATCACTGCCACGCCAGACCCCAGTCCATCTTTACTAGGCTCATAAATCTGGGAAACTTACTTTATTCAAACAGTGGGTTACAATACCAGTGTTCTTGTAGCGTTGTTGTATGGAAAAGAGTCCTAACCGATTTGCGTTGGGGACGGGAGTCAAGATTCCGCCTATGACAATGGCGTGTGAAATGCAACACACATTTGTTGAAGCAACATGGTATTTGAAGCAATGGGCAAACGGGACTTTTTCTTGTATACATCGGACTCCATCGTCTCGTGTGTGGTGACCCCTTAAAAGCACCGAACTCTAACCATAATTGATTGCTCAAGTTCCTTAGACCGAAGATCCAAAAACGAAGAATGCCATATACTGTCAACACGGCAAGTCAGGGCGAAGAACTGGTTCCAGTATGGTTCAAGTATGTGCTGTCTTGTCCGGATCCGAGCGCGCAATGCTATAACACAAGCATGGGTATGGATTTAAGAAAGGAAGAGAAAAATATAATAACTGTTCCTATTCAGGGTAGTTAATATCTGCTACTCTAAGACGATTTTTCCGAATTTATCTTTATACTACGCGCTTTTCTTGCAAAAATCGTATTCAAATACATATGGATACATCGCTGGGAAGAAAAACAAAATTATAGAGGCGATTAAGTGACTTAACTAATAGTTCCATCGCTTTTTGCAGAGTTCAATGCTTCAGTGATCATGGCGTTAGCCGCCACCCCCAGGGTGGCTAGCTTCCCTTCCACATTCTTCTTTTTATTTCTTGCATGTACCAGCTTTGTTAAACTTTCTGGGACTTGTGAACCAAGTGCCTTCAATGCATTCGGAATAGTGCGGAAAGTCGCTAGAGAATTTCGGAATGTTGCGTGCTTAGCATTCGTGTTTTTCTATATTGGTAATCTGTCTCAAAGACTGACATGTCTCACTAAATGAAGGTTGGTCGGATTTTATATCTAGCCGGTTTTGTGGGTGAGAATTAGCCGACATTACTAGTGGATGGGTAGAAGCTTCCCATAGCCTGAGAGCGGCAGTGGGAAATTCCACTTATTTATAACAGAAATAAGCTTGTTCTTTAATCATTTTAGCCGAAGGTGACCCATCCGAATTTAGCAGCAAGGATCATATTCACTTCTGGGAAGCAGCGTCCCTTGACCAGCTCGGTAAATGATCGTTGAGAATGTTCCAGTTATTATGTCTTTCTCCCTTAATTGGCTTTGAATGATGGTACAATACTCCGGAGTATGTCTTCCTATCATTTGGAATAACTTAAGTTGCTTTTCAGACAGGGAAAATGTTCTGGTGATACAGCGAGGTACCTGACGGCCTTATGCAAATTTGTACACACTTGTTTAGGTAAATTGTATAAGCTGTAGTACACAATTCCCAAATCTTGAATTGAATCAGAGGTTGGCATTACGTCACCAGCATGATTGCTAGGGAATTTCGGGCTGCGGCATCGGTATTGAAGTACTTTGGATTTTCTTACAAAAATTTTATTAACTGACGCTCGGTAGATAAATTTACTTAGGGCAGATTTTCGCGTACATTTCCCCGGCAGAGTTGCAGTTGGTCTGAATGAAATTAGTAGACCAGTTTGATCAAGGTGACACGCGCCAAACACTGTGCCGAGTTCTACTCCTAGCACAGACCATGTCTATCTAACAAGACTATACAAGGGCGAAATGCGTCGTAGAGTGCCGTAGCGGGACAGAGCAACACTGAAAAGCTCCCACTCTCCCTGTTACTTTTGGCCACCGTATGCTCGCTGCCTCTTTCGCAGCAACGTGAAAACAACTACTTTGACCTTAGTAGCCCACTGATTTGTATGGTGGAGGCAGCAGCGGAACAACCTACAACATACGGTGCGTTAGGTTTCTGTGGTGTCACAATTTGCTACTTCGGATAATTTTCTTGGGAATGATTGTAAATCAACACGGTCAATTCATCGAGTTAGATGAGAGAAGAGCAAATACAACGTGATCCACAAACCCCTTGGTTTTGCGTCTACTACAACACGACCAAAGACAGATAACACCCAAGTGTGTGGGCGGGAATTCCAGAAATCATGATCCTCATTGTAGAGAGGTATTACTGCAAACCGTTTGGAAAACCTTTTTTACGGTACCAAAACGCACCTAACTGGCAGCACTTATGCTGAGTAGAAGTAATTTAGGTGAAACTAGGAAAATAGCGTTTGTTTGACAGAAACAGTGTACTGTTGGTTTAAAGAGCAAATCTTTTACTAAGTAAACTGCATTCGTTTTGTATCGCCTAAGATACCATTCCATTTGCAATCATATTACCTCAGAATAAAACCTTAATAAACTTACGTACATGCTTCTGTACATTATCACATTTTATTAATTACCTTGCTTCCAAATTCAGACTCAGCTTGGTTTCATGGTGGTTTCATAACTCATTAAATCTGTTTCAAAAACTAATTGCTTACTGTAATCAATAATTTCTGATTTTGAGTTTGATTGCAATATCCTTAAAGTGTGATTTGTTGACCGTGATTTCTAGTGCTATCATGATTATAGATGGGTCACATTTGTGTAACATAGACACACTATCAGTTAGGTGGTTTAATGTCTTCTCCACTCAGTTTGGAGCATAAAGTTGTAATTGTTTAGGAGAAGCTAAGAAAAGAAGAACAAGAAGCAGATATGAACAATTTCTAACACTGTAGCACAATTTTGGTACTAACATAATCCGACACTCAATGGGCACAACAATTTGTCCAATGTATACCCAGTTGAATGCAACTTAACCTTGCCGTGCAATAAACAGGGATATTTGACTCATACTATAACAGCCGTGCTTAAATTCTGGTTTCCGCTAAAGGAATCTCCAGACGGTTAACGCTCCTAGTTACGAAAAGCTTTAATTATGACCAACGATTCCAAAATTATCATTAATAGTTAAGGTTCGATCCCCGGAACCTAGTTATAATTTCATGCCTACCTGCTGCTAACAAAATATTAACTCCGAAATCTTTATCTTATGTGCGTCAAACGAGGGGAAAATTGCTTTCATAATGATCATGTCTTCAAGCCAAATGTTATACGGATGTCAGGAAAATAAGTGTTTCACGTCAACTAAATCATTTTTAGCGCACTTCCTTTATATTCGTCACATCGATGAGGAGATTGATTAGATAGTAATCATTCAGCTTGATACAGATCTTTGAGAAGTTTTTAGATTTGCTTCTTGTCTTTTTAGTATTACTTATAAGTAAACGATCGTGGTACTTAATGTACCATACAGTTATTTGCCTGTATCAGATTGTCATTTACCTAGAATTCCTGTAGGCACTAAGAGAACTAATTCCTGTCCTATATATATACACCTACAGTAACACTTGCTACCTTTATTCTTCCCAAGTAGTTGATCAATTATATTTAGTACGCTTGGCTTTAAAGTCTACTTTGTTGGGAGCCATGTTGTGTTCACAAAATGTTTGAAGCTAACTTTTTGTCTGACCATT